AATATGTGACCCTGGACCACAAAACCAGTCATAAGGGTCAATTTTTGGAAATTGAGATTTATACATCTATATTTGAATATACAAATAGAATATACAACTATTTGAAAATCTGGAATCTGAGGGGGCAAAAACAAATCTAAATATTGAGAAAATCGCCTAAAGTTGTCCAAATTAAGTCCTTAGCAATGCATATTACTAAACAAAAATTACGTTTTTATATATTTACAGTAGGACATTTGCAAAATATCTTCATGGAACATGATCTTTACTTAATGTCCTAATGATTTTTGGCATAAAAGAAAAATCAATAATTTTGACCCATACAGTGTATTTTTGGCTATTGCAACAAATATACCCCAGCGACTTAAAAGAATGGTTTCGTGGTCCAGGGTCACATATATATTTATACATTATATAAATCATATATAAATATGTCTGTGTGCTTATTTATATATACATATAAATATACACAGTTCACACACATATATTATGTAAACACAAACGTTTATTTTGGATGCGATTAATCATGATTAATCGATTTGACAGCACTATTTTAGATAATACAATTTCTCAGATTGCCTTTTAGATGATCATATGGCTGTTTGGGTGTTCCTTTTTAGTCCGCCACATCCTTGTCTAATGTATTCACGTTTGAATATGTATGTCAGCTATACTAATTATAGCTAGCATATCTTCCTCCTGCCTGGGAGATATGTGGCTACTTCGCATGAGGTGTGAAAAAGTAAAAAAAGCCGATCTAGAACGCTGTCAAGGGAGTGCGGACTGCGGCGCTCATGATGGCTATGATGAGTCTAAGCATTAGCAGGAGCTTGAATATGGAATCACTTTTTTTAGAATAAGTGCTGCAAGAACATACGAAGTGAAGTGTGGAGTCGATCAAACAAACGCATCCAGCAAGAGTTGCACATAAAAACAGACTCAAGCTGCTTTGTATATATGCATGCTTATGGTATCACATCAATTTGCTGAGAAGCTCTGGACAGTTATTGGAAGAAGGCATGAAATCGAAGTATCTAACTGACTAAAATCGGATCTCACCTATTTAGAGAGAAAGAGATATTTTGATTACAGGTTCCGGTACCTTGTAAAAAGAACTTTATTTCCAGTCAGACCACCAAAATCTGAAGCACTCTGGATCATGTAAGTGGTATCATGCCATCCAATCAGATTAGAGCTTGCCAGTTTGAGAAAGTCCCTGCTGATTTTATGTTTAATATGCATTAGATGGTCAATGAATGGATTGTAGGTTGTCTTTTGGTTTCATTAATATGAGGAACCGCGTTCTCTGAAGACCGCAGAGAGATGCAGCGCTCATGGGAGATTCAGTCAGTGTAACTCAAGGCCTCGTATTGTTTATGTGTGCATTTGTGTATCTCGCATCTCTTTCTCTCCATATTATTAGTCGCAGTCTCGCTATGTATTATATAAGACTTCCTGAAAAGCATCTAGTGTAGCTCATGACACGCCTCCTCATTTTCTGGGACAGGAGGAGTGGAGCATTAGTGGAGATGAGTACATATTGTACTGCACTTTAGACTGAAAAAAAAAAGCCCACATATATTTGGAGAGGAGAGCATTATGCATTATATTTAGTTTCCATTATATTTGTTTTCATAATAATAGTCATAGCGGTTGCAAATGTGTGTGGGGTCAGATTTGTGCTCTTGTTTGACTGCCTGTGATTTATAGTGATCTAAGAATGTTAAATATAACAATTATATTCATCATATTAATGTGCAGCCAGTTTGAGTTTGCTTGAACACGCACTGCTGCTGGGTCTAAAACTACACTATTTCATTTTGAGTGGTTACATTTGATGAAAATGATGGTTTCTGGCCATTTAAAATGAACTACCAGCTTGAACAGAAGCCATAGTTAGCCTAAAAATAAAATTATGTCATTATTTGGACAAAAATATTAATGGGAAAAATGACAAAGCTCGGGAAAATCTGAATTTTTTTAACTGGTACGACATGTTCGGTTATGAGACATGTGAGTATGTGTGTATTTATATACACAAAATATACACAGTACACACGCATATATTATGTACACACACTTTTATTTTGGATGCAATTAATCGTTTGTCTGAATAAATAAATAAATAAATTAATTAATTAATTAATTTGAGGAAAATTCTTCATTTTTAAGCTGGTGTGACTTTTTTTTATTTATTTTTTTTGCATCAATGATGATGCCAAATGCCATTTTTCAATTTAAGAATTAATTGAATAATTTAAGAATTGAGGGTGAGAAGAGATCAATGACTCAAATGTTTCTGCTCTATCTATCTGTCTATCTATCTGTCTATCTATCTATCTATCT